ATCACTGACAAAGTTGTGAATTTTTTTGCCATGAAATGTGTACCTAGAAGCAAGGCAGAGAATGACTGTATAAGTGTATCTATTTTTTTCCTACTAAACTTCAGAGAAATGTAGTCAAATGAGAGTAGCTTAAACAATAGTAACTGCTACCATATGTGAAATTTCTGTAAGAGGACATTGTTTCCATTTTAATATTATTCTCTGACTGTTTGTTTTCCTCTGGAGGAGCTGATTGAAGCTGGACTTTAGCTATGAAATCTTTTTCCCTTCCTTGAGTGTAACCAAATGGCAGGTTACAGTAAGTAGGCTCTGTATGTTGTTGAAACATATAAGAAAAGAGAGATTCAGGCAAAAGACACAATTACAGGTTTTCTCTACATCCAATTTCATTGTGTTTTTACACATCTGGATAATTAACCAAACATTGCATTCTCTCTGTTTTTACAAGTACAATGTACTCCTCACGGGATTTCCATCAGGCTGGAAAAAAAAAATCGCAGACCAAGATTCAAAACTACTATTCAACTATGATGTTGAGGCCTTTTTCTCTCCTGGGAGAAATAAAAGACTGAGAGCTGAATTCTGAGATCCTTCTGATGTAGGAGGAAAATTGGAAGTTTATTGCCTCTTTAAGCTCCAGCAAATACAAGCATGTACAAACACACCGTAATACCTCTGGTCCTTCTTGTTGGAGGTCAGCTCGAAATATGGTCACCATGGGAAAAATTAACCAAGTAAGAGCAGTGCTGGAAATTGCAGCTTGAAGCTCCTTTAATAATTAGAAAGGAATAATAAGGACATCCTAAAATTCTGATGTGTTGAGTGCTAACCTAGTTTGAATTCTGTTCGATGTGTTATGTTTATCTGGCTGGGTTTCTCATTTGAAGGTCCCTGCCAAATTCTAAAATAATATGTGTTCAGATAGTTTCTGGCCACACTTTTCCTCTTTCTTTTTAAAATGGCTTTGGTATTGCTTTGAGCTTTTATGAGGCCAGCGTCTGATCCCATGTTAGAAGGTTCGTGTTAATTCACAGACCTCAGGGGCTTCATTGACCAGCTGCTGCCCACACTGGTGAACACCATGGGGAGGTCAGAGAAGCCATGGGACCAAGAGTTCTGGTTGTTGTTGCTGTTTTCATTAGAACTCAGAACAAAAGAAGCAATAGTTCATAAAATTACAGAATCACTGTTATAAGCCTAAGGGACCATATAGTCGATTTCTAATCCATAAGGCAGTCACACCTAAATTCTTCCCCCGAAATATGGGGTTCTATAAAATATATACAGGAAAAGGCAAATGAGGTAAAATAAAACATACTTGATTTATTACCCGGTTGTCTTTTGAAGTACTTAATGGCGGTCAGAGAATCATTAAATTGAGAAATAAATGATTCAAAAAGAATAAATGAGTCTGATCTTGCCAAAAAAAAAAAAACCTCTCTCAACAAGGAGAGTGAAAATAATTGAAATTTTATTACAGTGTTTCAGTGTCTGTTTTCCATAAAAATAATTCTATAATTTTCTTTTCTGTGACAGCCTGAGTCACTCAACCAATGGAATGATTAATGAAAAAGGCAATGACGGATTTGTCACACTGACACAAAGCAAGGAAGTGTGTGATAGTCATTAGAAAGTTAGAAAAAAAAAACTGCGAGGTTGGCAGATGTGGACTGAATATTGAAGAATTTCATTTTGGATATGGTTATAGTACTACTCATCTCACTGTTTTGTTTTTCATAAATGATCAGCTTAGCAAGCCTGGAGTAGATAAACCCAAGATGTAGTCCCACCTTAGGGGACCTCAGACCCATGGTGTATTCCAGGACCATTGACTGTCCAGCCTGGGCAACAGAGCGAGACTCCGTCTAAAAAAATAATAATGATGATAATAATAATGGTGGCTTTTTTTTTTTTAAAAAGAGTATCTTCTCAATAGAAAAGATTTCATTGACTGAAATGCAATTAGATATGACAAAGGGGAGCTGCGGAGACAGCCAAGCCAGGGTAGAATTCCAGCCAGGCATGTGAATGAAATGCATGGGCCCTTGTTTTCATCACTGTAAAATATTGGAAAATAATGTTCATCTTAAATTGGCTTAAAGTAGGTGAGGTAGCCTGGCTCATAGTAATGCTCAAAAACTGAGTGGGTGTTCCTTCTTAATTCCCTGCCTGGATGTATCCCAGATACCCAGATACACATGATGGTCACTGGGGGAAGGTGCCATAAAAATGCAGATGTTTCAGCCTACGTTTCTCATGACTACCTACACAGCAACTTAAAGTACATGCCCTTCCATGTCAGAAAGTGTCAAGAGAGATGTTTTATTACCAGGTGTTATAACAAGAAAATTGGAGTGATAATATCACTGGAAGATAAACTTTTTAGCATTTGTACCAATTTCTGATAGGGAAAAAGTATTTAGAAGTAATGCCAGATAAGTCATTCATTTATCAAGTTTGTTTTTATTTACCTACTTTGTGCTAGGCAATGTATACATTATGGAAATCATAATCTAAGAAATGGTAAACTTTGCTCTATCATGTGTCAGTCATGGTTTCCATAATATAGTTTTGAAAGCAATTGTGACCTTTATGAGGGCAAGTTTTGTGCTTTATTCATTTTTGTGTCTCCTCAAGTATCTAGTATAATGCCTGTATTAGTTCGTTTTCACACTGCTGTAAAGATACTACGAGAGAGAGAGCATGCGCAGGGGAAACTGGCTCTTTTAAAACCATCAGCTCTCGTGAGAACTCCCTTACTATCATGAGAACAGCATGGGGGAAACTGCCCCAGTGATCCAGTCACCTCGCACCAGATCCCTTCCTCAACACGTAGGGATTACAATTGGAGATGAGATTTGGTTGAGGACACAGAGGCATACCATGTCAATGCCTTTGACAGAAGAATTGCCCAATAAACTATCATTGAATAAAGACTATATAATAATACATTTTTACTAGTAAAATGGTTACTCAGGGAAATATGCTTTTTTGTCATTTTACAGAAATTTTATTTGATAAATGTTCACTTATTGTCACTAACAAGAGAATGTAGCACAGTTAGAGACAACAAACCAAATTTCAGACATATGGACATATCTTTATATTACACAAGGAAGCTAAAATATACTTGCAAGTATGAATGGATAAATTGCTTTGATTCAATACTTTGTCTAAATAATTATTATTGCACAAGAGAGCTGCATCAATGAGGAGATCTTGGATAAATTACATTAATGGCTTTCTTTTATCATTGCTTGGAAGGAGTTTAGGTTTTGGAGTCAGTCAGCTCAGGTATAATTCTGGCTCTACGACTTAACCTCTCTGAGCCTCAGTGTCCTCATCTGGAAATGGGAGTAATGATATCTTCAGCATATGATTATGGTATGGATAAAATAAGAGCGTTCAGGGGTTCCCAGCCTTTGAACTTACAGACCCCCTGGAGAGCCTTGGAGATGCTGTGAACTCACAGGTATCCACATAGTGTCTCTAGTCTGTTTTGAACATAGATGCATTGCTCTTTTTCAGGTGTCTGTGGATTCATTTTAAGATTCATTCATTCAACAACTATTTATTGAGCATAACAAATACACACATCAGTCATAGTGGACTCAAGTAAACAAAACGGACAAATGTCCCTGTATTCACCGATCTTATATTCTAGTATGGGTAGGAGCATAACAGTATATGAGATAAGTAAGTAAAAGTTTGTTGGAGAATGATAAGTATTAAGGAAATAGGAAAGAAAAAATATAGGAAATTGAGAGAATTTGCCATAAATATGGATGCCTGTGAGAAGAACATTCCAGGTGGAGGGAACAGCTAGTCCAAAGGCCTGGCAGGCATGTGCCTGGTATGTGCAAGGAATAGCGTGGAACCCAGTGGGCTGGAGAGGAATGAGCAAGAGGGTAGCAGGGGTTGAGGGTAGAGAATGGAGCAGATCATGCTAGCCCTATGCCTTTGCTTTTGGGAAGATGGGAAGTCATTAAAGGATAAGGGCAAAAGAAGGAGGCCAATGAGGAGGCTACTGCAGTCATCCAGGCCAGAGATGATGTGATGGAGAAGGGGTTGTGGAAGACATTGGACTCTGGACAGATTTTGATAGAATAGGTAGAGCTGACAAGCTTGGCTGATTGACTTTTGTGGAATATGAGAGAAAGAGAGATATAAAGAATGGCACCAAGATTGTTGGCCTGAGCAGCAGGAAAACAGAATTAACATGAATTGAAAGGGAGGCTGCCTCAGGGTTGGGGATTGGGAGCTTTATTTTGAATGTCTGCAGTTTAATATTAGACATACAAGTGGAGATATCAAGAAGGCAACTTTTGATGGAAAGAATGCAAAATGCAAAATTATTTGAAAAATATTGCTGAGTCAATAGTAGCTCTTCCAGCACAGTCTAAAAGTAGAACTATTATCACGTTTGTTGGGGGAAGAATATCTACAAAATATTTTGACCTTGAAAAAGGACCTTGTGCTAGAAAAGGTTGGAAATAGAGATGAGTTTAAGTGAAAATTTTAGTGGCAGTAAATATTATTTTCCTTTCTACTAATGGAACATGTATTCCATTAGTACATGTTGATTTCAAAATTTGCAGCATTATCAGATTTTGAAATCTTAATTTTGAACTTGAGATTTTTTTCCCCTCTAATCTTTGAATAGAGCTTTCTGGCAAGAGACGCCTAACACATGGCAGAATTGTGTTCTCCCAAGTTATTTTATTTTGGAAGGAAATTAGAATGTTCACTTATTACATGTTCACTTGTGATTTTTTTGAGCATCGAACCTGTGCATGTCATGTGGTGCTATTTGAGACGACAAAAGAATTGGAAGACAGAGGTTTTTGCTATTATGGAATCTATAATGCGGGGTTAGGAAACAGATAGTATAACCTCATGTGGAAAGATTGCTCCTTCATTGTGATTTTAATTAACTTAAGTACATTTAATTTTACTAGCATCCATTTGTGACTGGCCATTTCAACATCTGTCCTTCTCAGTCTTACGCAGGGAAATATGTGCCAGCCATTGCACACCTCATCCATTCCCTCAACCCGGTGAAGGAGGAGAAGATCAACCTGAAAGGAATTGCTATTGGAGATGGATATTCTGATCCCGAATCAGTAGGTGTCTCCTTTTGACTTTCTATTTTGTCTCTTAGGGAGATTAAAAGCCTTTTTATCAGATGGAAGGCTCCTCTTAGAGGTCTAACTTGATAAGGGAAATACCAGTTGACTTTATGACTTAAATCTCTTAATTTTTACCAAATGTTTCAACGTATCGATGTACTGTGTCAGCTTACATTGGCTGTCAGTGCAAATATATGTGTATGTGTATTGTGTTGTGTTCTGTTGTGTGTGTTGTGGGGTGTATATGTGTGTGCATGTAATTATCCTACTTGGCTAACCAGCACAAGATTAACAATTACAAAGGATTATTTCACCAAGCAAATGGGTTTCCTTAAGGTCTCTTTTTCTCCCTTTGTGGCATTGATGTGTGTCTTTTTTGTCCTCAGATTATAGGGGGCTATGCAGCATTCCTGTACCAAATTGGCTTGTTGGATGAGAAGCAGAAAAAGTACTTCCAGAAGCAGTGCCACGAATGCATAGAACACATCAGGAAGCAGAACTGGTTTCAGGCCTTTGAAGTGAGTTCTAGGGGCCTTGTGCTGCCCTTGAGCAATTAAAACCATCTGGGGAGGGGGGCGGGTCAGTAGGAACACCTTGGTGCTCAGGCATTTTTTTGTTAAGACGGTATATCTCTGTTATTCCATTCGAGATCGGGAGGCGAGTTGAGTGGCCTTATAATAAAGAAAAGGACTGTCTGTGTTCCTTTGAATTTACTTTGGCTATATTTTAAGCCTGAGATCATCTTGGAGTGTGTATCTAACTGTGTCTTTCATTAACTGTTTTGATTTCTTTAAATACTGTGGAGGCCCTCAAGGCAGACCCTATCATATGGAAATCAGAAGAAAGGCAACCCAGGAAGTAGAGGCATATGCTTCACCATCTGCTCTAAACCATGTAGAAGAGTTTTATATCCACAAACAGGGTTTCAGCTGGGAGAAATGACCACAGTGTGTAACAAATGACATGTGACACACGTGTCGGGAACAAAGATCATAAAGTGTAGTAATTTGAAACTCTTACAAAGGGGCATTGGTATTTGTGCATATCCTTACACTGCTCACCTAAAATTAAACTTGAGAATAAATAATTATGTTCTTCACTCTTTTCTTTCTCGGTTATTTAAAGTGTAAGAATATACTAAATATTAGGATACAGGAAGTTTTTGTTTTTTGTTTTTTTTTTTTTTGGACAATGCAGACAGAGCTATGTGTAAACAATCTCCCTGAGAGGCTTTTTGCCACATTTACTATAGAGCCATGGTGTTTGACACAGTAGTAAATGAGGCAAGGTCTGAATCTTGAGAGCTTTAATTTGTTTGTTATTAGACACATTCTGTAACAGTATATCTAATGTTGTTATTGTTATTAAAGCAGAAATCTGATATTAAGTCTTAAGAGCACTGCAGATCAGCCAGTTCAGATCAAAATAGGAGACATGCAACCTTGGAGAGAAGGTGGAGGATAACACAAAGTTATTTTTCATTTTACAAGTAGGGTGTCGGGACACTATCAGAAATCTACCAAGGCAGTGGCCACCCTTGCTGTGAATTCTGATAGCAGCTAGCTGTGCAAATGGTTGGAGCAAAGGGAGTCCTGAGCCATCCTACAGAGCTCCACCAGGCTCTCCTTTCTCTGAGTCAGGACACTAAATGTGGCTGCAAAGTGTGGATTCAGAATTTCTTGTGTAATTGTAAACACAAAGGAAGAGGGATCTCCTGGGGGACATGTAGGATCATGCTTCCACTTGCAATGATACTATTTTCAAGACTTTCTGCTGTGGTAGTCAGAGAGGGGACAAAGGAGTGAAACTTCAGTATTTAGAATTAATATCAAATTTTATCTGGCATGAGACCAATTTGCAAATGAAACATTTGATATGTTTTTAAAGAAGCACACAGGGATAAAGCAATATCAAGAGCAAGAGCATTTGAGAGGCTCATATTGAGAAAAAAAGCAGAAAGATGACTGGTACATAATGTAGCAGGCTAAACACCTACAGGATTAGTGAAGCTATAGAAAAGTTCAGGTATGTTGTGTATTCAGAGAGAATGAGAACGTGACCCATGAGGTTAGAATCTATCCCAAACCGGATACATCAGAAACTGGAACCCCAAGCAGGCAAAACCTTTGAAGGCTTGGAATGTCTTTTTGACCACTGGTCCCACATCTTGAGTGATGAATTAAAACAAGACCTTTGCTTTTTCAAGGAAAATAGATAAAATGATACTTAGGACAGTAAACAATTTGTAGTTGAAATGTGTTTCAATGACTGCAAAGGAAGACTCCGACAAATCCTGAAACCCAAGGGAATATAAATGTCAGAATCTCAAGCCTAAAATGATAAAGCCTGTTTGATGCTCTGATCCTTTAAAATGATTTAATTAATCAAAGAGTAATAACTCAGAGCTGGAGAGTACTCTAGAGATAGGTCGTCTATTGTCCCTATGCATTTACATGCACACACAGACACACACACACAGATACACACACAGACACACACACACATACACACACAGACACACACACACACTTACTGGTGAGGGGAGAGGATGCCGAGCCTCAGAGGATAGCAATGAATTGCCGAAGGATACACAAATGGATTGTGGCAGGCTGAGGACTGGAATTGTTCCCCGCATTTCCACCACAGTATTTCTCCTATGGTAATTTGCAGGCATTCTATAAAAATCCTGGGGTGTCTTAGATATTCTGCAAGATATAAAATGGCTGATCCGCTGTCCAGTATTACCTCCTTTTCCATGATGATTTTCTGAATCACAAAGTTCTTAACTTCACAGGTCCTAACCACCCATGTTATTTTTTGACAACAACTGACTTTTTTTTTTTTTTTTTTGAGATGCAGTCTCGCTCTCTTGCCCAGGTTGGAGTGCAGTGGCAAGATCTCTGCTCACTGCAGCCTCCACCTCCTGGGTTCAAGCGATTCTCCTGCCTCAGCCTCCCGAGTAGCTGGGATGACAGGCACTCACCACCACGAACGGCTAATTTTTCTTATTTTTAGTAGAGATGGGGTTTCACCTTGTTGGCTGGGCTGGTCTCAAACTCCTGACCTCAAGTGATCTGCCCACCTCAGTCTTCCAAAGTGCTGGAATTATAGCTGTGAGCCACCGCGACCAGCCAACAAATGACTTTTAACTCTTTCTAAAAGCAAAGTTATTCTTCAAGGTTGACTTTATATTTTATTTTCCCATTGGTGTTGAAGATTATTTCTAACAATGAATTTCAGAAATGATGTGTGCATTCAGAATGATCCTGGCCTATGGTGTCCCCTCTGGGTGAACAGATTAGAAAAAGCACCTCCTCTGTGGTAATGCAGTCCTGTGGGTTCAGGACTGGGCAAGCAGATGCCTCCATTGTGTGAGGATAAGAGGTGGCCAGTTCTCCAGCTGCAGCCCTGAACCAGGCTGTCCAGCTCAGCAAGCAGAACTTTGGCTGGTTCCCTGTCCCTTCGCACCCCTTAGCCACAGGCATCACCATGGAGCTGCACAACCAGATGTGGGGCCCTGAGCAATGGTAGCATTGGTAGAGAATACTTACTACCACCTCCACTCACACCGCCTTCTACGGCGATAACCCTTTTCATTCTTGGCCTCTCTCCCCATGGCAATAGGAACTTGAATAAGTTCTTTCACGTTTGAAAAAGAATATGAATACAGGCCAGGCACGGTGGCTTATATCTGCAGTCCCAGCACTTTGGGAGGCCGAGGCGGGTGGATCACAAGGTCAGGAGTTCAAGACCAGCCCGACCAACATGGTGAAACCCCATCTCTACTAAAAATACAAAAAAAAAAAAAAAAATTAGCTGGGCATGGTGGCAGGCACCTATAATCTCAGGTACTCGGGAGGCTGAGGAAGGAGAATTGCTAGAATCTGGAAGGCAGAAGTTGCAGTGAGCTGAGATCTTGCCCCTTCATTCCAGCCTGGGTGTCAGTGCGAGACTCTGTCTCAAAAAAAGAGGATATGAATACAATAATGAGAATATTTCTCAAACACTGAAACATGGCCAGAAGGAATTGGCAAGTAGGAAGCATTGCAGGCTGACTGCTGGGAGCCAGTGAGTGCGTGGTTGAGTGTGCAGGCTCAGGAGTTGTGGCCTGATCATCTCACCTCTGACGTTATTAGTGGGGTATCCTTGGCAAGTTGCTTAAACTCATGTGTCTCAGTTTTCTCACCCATAAAATTAGAATAATAATACCTTATCTGATAAGAGACCTAACTTTGTACTTGATAGATTGTTTTTAAGATGTGCTGACTTCATTTCTTAGAATCCTTTCATAAGAACTCCTTACAATGTAATATCATCATCAACAACCCCCCTCCATGTCTTCAGCCTCTTGCTTTGCTGGAAACCTGGCTCTCCCCTGATGATGCTGCAGTCCTTGTGGTCCTCTTGAGTGGGGGCTGTTCTCTCTCTTAGTTTCTCTGTATCTCTTGGTTCATAGGTGGAGTAGGTGTCTTCCTTGCTTATCATGTGACTTTCAGATCATGTTCCCTGCCTCCTCCTAAAGCATTGAGCTTTGACTCTCCTGTCCTCAGACAGGGCCTCTGACCACTTCCAATTGTGTCTGTCTACCAACCCCTGGTTACTCTCTCTCATTTGAATAGCTGAGCTCCTTCCTCCCTGTCGCTCTCTCCAGCATTATTCTTGTCATAATTCCTGGTAACTGCAGGATCCACATTGATGATCCTTTTAGGATGTGGTCCTTGGTGCCTCAGCCTCCTGTTTTTCAATGATCATGTTCTCCTCTTCATCTTAGCTGCTGATTCTCATACCCTAAAAAGCTGTCAGCTGATCCACAATCACACATTCAAACATCTTTCTCCAACTACCACCTCCTGTCCTAGCTCTCCTCCGCTAATGTACCAGTCTTACAGCCCTGCAACCTCACTACCTTTCAATCCATTGATCCTCCTGCCTCTCCACTATCTCTAACACCCTGAAGTCTCCATTTCTCTAATTACCTGTCTTCAACCCAGGGTCAGTCATCCCATACATTTCCAAGCCCAAACCTCTTTTGCACTTCTTCCAACTCCTTTGGCTGAACCACAGCCCTGGCTCAATCTCCCCCTCTGCCAGGCTGTGCTTGCCTCCATGCAGCTGACAATCGCTGGAGGAGAGCATGCAACCATGCTGATTGCTCTCCCCCTCAGCTGGTGACTGGGATTTTTAATGTCAGCCCAAAGATAACTTCCACCAGCTCCAGAAACCTGGAGCTGCACCTTATCCTGCGTCTTCTCTCCATGTCATCTGGTGAGCAGTTCGTGATCCATGTTAAGGCACCCTTCCCACAAGGTTTACTTCCATAGGCAAGGCCTTTCAGCTCGCTGTGTCCTCTGCCTGGAACCTTCCTTCCCCTAGATGTCTGCGTGGCTTTATTCCTCTCATCCAACATGTCTTTACTCAACTGTCACCTTCTAAGTGAGATCCTCTGTGACCTCCTCTCCACAGTGTCCCATACACACATGCACATGCATGATACTTCCTACTCCTCTTTAGTTTTCTCCTTACCATTCCCTAACATACTCAAGAGTTTGTCACTGTCTACCACATGACGTAATTTACTTAGAAATGCTTATTGTCCCCCGCCTAGAATGAAAGCTCTATGGGGGAGGACCATTGGTCTGTTTTGTTGATGGCCGTTTCTCCAGTGCCATGGCAGTGTCTAGCACAGAGAATATGCACAATAAGTGGACACTGGATGAAACAATAGAGGAATGAAAAAGTTGTTGAATAAAGGAAATGACAAATGTCTGTACATTTTTACCCACGCTGATGTTTTCTTTCTCTCTTTCTCCCTCTCTCCCAACCTAGATACTGGATAAACTACTAGACGGCGACTTAACAAGTGATCCTTCTTACTTCCAGAATGTTACAGGATGTAGTAATTACTATAACTTTTTGCGGTGCACGGTAATGACAACATTTTAAAAACCATAATAATGTTTGCTTAAAACTTTTGGCAAAACCGAACTTCCTTTGATTTGGGAAATATTATAGATGACTTTATACTAGACCAGCATGTCCAAACTGTTTTGCATGATGTGGTCCACTAACCCGTAGGATCTTTTCCTCATCAGTGTTGTATATGTTATAATTTGACCACTGAGAATGTGTGATATTTCAGATAACTCAAAACAACTTCTGATTAACATAATTTCCCCCCAGTAGAGCTTGTTATAGAGGCTTTTTTGTGAAGGACACAGGCTGGGATTGGAGTTCTGGGTCTCAGGTCCCAGAGCTTCAAGTCTGTTTACGAGTCTCTTGAAAATGCCCACATTCTTTGTTCTGTACTTAAGACACTTGGATAATCAAAACTGCCAAAGCCTTAATGAAAATATTTGCTTTGTCTTACTTTTAACTTAAGAGGTTTAATGCATTTAGTATGGCCCTTACTTCAAGCCTTCTGGAATATTTCTCAAAGTATTCAAGTAGTTTGTTTCATAAAAGTAGACCAAAGTTGGTATCTTTTGTGTAGAATTAGTCAAACAGAAGGGGCCAAAGTAGGTGTTTGAATTTGTATAATCTTTGTCTGATGCTTATGACAATGCATTCTGTTTTTTAAATTGCCTGATTTATGAACTAGTTTGTAAATAAAGTATGTTAGTTTCAGTGGAATTCGCCAGTGCTGCAGTTTTGGATTTAGGTTCTACCAAGAGAAAAACATGTGGTAGACAAGACAGAAACAAAATTTGTGATATCTTTTTTTCTTTACAACATAATATATTCATAGTTAGCAAAAGTTGTTGATGAAGCACAGAGTTGTCAAACTCAAACTTTAACAGTTTTTTAAATCCTTGTGTAACTGTTTTTTTAAAAAAGCATGTACTCCTTTCTTTCAGTATAATGATTATTACAGAGACTTTATTGCAGTTTTTTTTTTTTTAAATGAGCTTCATGGACAACTTTTCTTCTGTCTTGTGTCCTTCATAAAGCATCATCTCTTTTCACATTTGACATCTTTTCCCCTTTATTATAGTTAATCCAATTTTGTGTGTGTGTGGTTTTAATAAACAGCAGACCACAGAAAAGAAATTCTTGGCTTTAAATCCAGCAGCCACCACCCTGGCCCTTGTGATCCATTTCACCTTCTTTCCAAAGAACCACCAACAAGGAGTGAATCGATGTTGATAATCTCACCTCTTTTGTTTTCTCAATCTTTGCCTCTAGAGGGGTTGCTAATGGGAGTCACAGATTGCAAAATATTAGTTTCTGCAAAGGAAAATCCTGTATTTGCTCTAAGAGTATCACGTCATTCAGGTTTCCCGTTAGTAAAAAGATTCCACCTAAATTACCTCGAAACCTCTGAGTTAAAATTTCAAGAATGGCGACAAGTTAATAGTCCCATCACATTTGTTCATGTTGTATATTATGAGACATTCACAGCTTTTCCCAACGTGCTGTTCCTGCCACCAATCACGTTCCCTATGTCTTTCCGATGCCCCCTTCTGCCAGGAACCTGAGGATCAGCTTTACTATGTGAAACTTTTGTCACTCCCAGAGGTGAGACAAGCCATCCACGTGGGAAATCGGACTTTTAATGATGGAACTGTAGTTGAAAAGTACTTGCGAGAAGATACAGTACAGTCAGTTAAGCCATGGTTAACTGAAATCATGAATAATTATAAGGTAAGAGAGCTACTTCAGTTATTATTTTAGGAACTTTCAGATTACCAAGAGCAGAGGTGATTTGTAATTTGAGTCCTGCCTTTTTTTTTTTAAACTTTTATGATGTGTCACTAACATAAATACCAACCCCTTCTTTGTTTGATTTCCAATTCAAAGTTTTATATTGTTCCTTTTAATTTAACCTCTTTTGCCGGTCGTGGTGGCTCATAACTGTAATCCCAGTGCTTTGGGAGCCTGAGGTGGGTGGATCACCTGAGGTCAAGATTTTGAGACCAGCCTGACCGACAAGGTGAAATCTCCTCTCTACTAAAAAATACAAAAATTAGCTGGGCATGGTGGTGGGTGCCTGTAATCCCAGCTACTTGGGAGGCTGAGGCATGAGAATCACTTGAACCCGGGAGGCAGAGGTTGCAGTGAGCCGAGATTGCACTCCAGCCTGGGCAACAGAGCAAAAACTCAAAAAAATTAAAATAAAATAAAATAAAATAATTTAACCACTTTCCCCTGATCATTCCTTAAAATGAAGTTCCCTTTGTCACATACCATTTCTCATCCTTTCTTGAGAAAGGAAGAGTTGCAGAGCCAAAAAGATGACTGACCGTGTGTAAGAGCCAGATTTCTGTTATGTATTGCTTTGTCACTTTAATCCCAGTGACGTCAGGGATAAATGAAATCAACTGGTTATTCTAAAAATGCATTTTACCTAATGATTGTATTCATTTACTTTACCCAGCCACAGTGTTTTGAGTCTCTTCTTAGGCTGTGAGGTTGAAATGATGAATGAGAAAGGGTCCTTGTTTGGAAGTAGGTCAAGTCAAGCCACTATGCTGTCTGGTTGAAATGCTCTGCCTCTGCTGCTGGAGGTGCCAGTGGAGAGTGAGGTCACAGAAAAGGAGCCCTGGAGGTTCAGGCAAAGAGGCATGGGCCCTAGAACTCCCACTGGGAGGGAGGACACCAAGAGCAAGTGACATGGGGAAAGTCATCCTGTGTATTATTTCTTTCCTCGTACTACACTCTCAGCTCCTCCTCTGGTCCTCCAGTGCTGTTAGCCTTTGCCCGAGGGATCGTCTCTGGGGCAACTCTGAAGGATGCCTGTACTAATGATTGGGGAGACCACCACTGAGTGATCCACTTCCTCCCTATATCCTTTTTTGAATGAACAAAAAACAGGGCAGTCAGCTGCCCATAGGATTTTTGAATGAATTAGAAAAAAGGCATCCTCTCCTCAAGATACTTTATTTCCATCTTTCAGAAATTGTCCTGATAACTAAGGTTTTACCTTAGTTAAAACCAGACTCTTTACTGCCATTTGCTGGCATGATGAATATTCATTTCTATAATGTCTGTATTAGGAATGGTGTCTCTTATTAATGTTCAGTGCACAATCTGCAATACCATCCAGGGAGTCCCTGGCCAATGCACCCTAACTAGACTGTGGTTTAGAATATGCCAGACCTAGGAGGCCCATTTTCGGGTCCTGCTCCTAGTACAGTGTTGGACACATAACCATTGTTGAAAATAGTCTGAGACCAATGCTATGCCAAGTCTACAAACCCATTATAAACCTGCAAAACTTGATGATATACTTACTTTCTAGGAAAGAAAGGGTTTAACTAGGTCAGGCCAGCATTTCAGCCATCCTTGTGTTTGGTTTACTTGGGTGCAGATAGTGACCCTTAGTGCTTGCTGCTTCAAGCCTTCTCAGAGCACCTCCAGAAGGTACTGCTGTTTGTCCTTTTCTCTGAGCTCTCGGAATGCATTGTCTTTACCCCCATAGTTGTACATGGCACACTCTAATGTGCAGACTCTCAGTCTGGCACCCATACCACCACCAGCCTGGAGCAGATGTCAGGAATGAATGAATGAATGATTAGTGCTGTATCAAAAATATATCTATAAACCTGTCCATAATCCATTAGGTGCTTATTATCCACAAATTTGTTAAACCAGAAAGAGGTTAGCATTCATGTCTTAAAGATGATGTTCTGTAATGTGATATTAAGGAACGGAAAGAGTGAGTTTTTTTGAGAGGAGAGCAGATAAGGAAGTTCGGTATGTGTTATTTGTACCCTTGGGAGATATATTTTCTCACTGTACAAACCTTTTTTTTTTTTTTTGTAGTGGCGCAACTGGCTCACTGCAACGCTCCAACACCTGAGTTCAAGCGGTTCCCTGGCCTCAGCCTCCTGAGTAGCTGGGATTACAGGCATGTGCCACCAGTGTCCAGGTCAGACTGATCTCAAACTTCTGACCTCAGGTTATCCACCTGCCTTGGCCTTCCAAAGTGCTGGGATTACAGGCATGAACCACCACGCCTGGCCTCACTGTACAAATTTAACTAGAATATGATTCCTTTGTCAGCCATGTGGGGATAGGGTGGAACAAACAGCTTACCTGATGACATAAACTCTCTTTATGTTTTGATTGATAAAGGAGAATATGTTGATTAGAGATGAACCTGCATTTTTATATTTAAACATCTCTGTCTCTCTTGCCCATGTATCCTAAACCTACCACTATGAATTCCAATAAAATCAGAATCTAATATTTTCTAAATTTTTCTTTTGTTTTCTTTTCTTTTCTTTTTTTTGAGACAGAGTTTTACTCTGTTGCTCAGGCTGGAGTGCACTGTTGCTCAGGCTGGAGTGCAGTGGCACGATCTTGGCTCACTGCAAACTCCGCATCCCAGGTTCAAGTGATTCTCCTGCCTCAGCCTCCTGAGTAGCTGGGATTACAGGCATTTGCCACCATGTCCGGTTATTTTTTGTATTTTTAGTAGAGACGGGGTTTCACCATGTTGCCCAGGCTGGTTTCAAACTCCTGACCTCAAGTGATCCGCCCGCCTCATCCTCCCAAATTGCTGGGATTACAGGCGTGAGCCACCGTGCCCGGCATAAACTTTTCAACTCTGAATCGGTTGCTAGAAAAAGAAGAGTTTATTGGTATAGATAAACCATATTTCCATAAAGAAACAGAACAAAATATGCCATCAATCTAATGCAGACCAAAAAGTGGCTGATGCTAAAACAGACAGCATGTTCACTCACGCAGCTGGCAAAGCCCTCAGGATAGTGATTATCTTTGGCTTGTCTGTTAATGATGTTGAACCTCAATGTTCAGAACAGGAATCAGAACAACCTAGGTTGGCTTAAAACATTAGTACCATTAAAGTCATATTTATGTAAGACTCGGTACTAATTTGTCATAGAAAATAGCATGCCGGTTTCTATTCATAGGAAGTAGAGATCTTTTTCGAGCACTGGGTTCATTTTAGCCAGTGAGGAGCATCTCTAATGGTTGAAGGAAGACCTTCCTGGGTTTCTAGAATTATGTTTTCATGTAGTTTTTATATAAAAATTAGCTTCTCTGTAAACTATGTTAGTTTCTATGTAAACTACATGAAAACATAATCCTTTTCTTACAATGATATACAGGAGGTGCATACTCAAATTTTCCTTTCAGTAATTTCAGATGTTTGGATGGTAAATTGAAATATCATATTGGCAGTTTCCAAAATAACTAGAATGAGAAACAATCTGTTGGACTATTTGAATTCTTTGTGACTGAATGAGGTCAAAACATGATCAGGACTTTTAGGAGTTAGCTGGTTAATACAGTATGGTGGTTATGAACATGTTCTTTAGTTGCACATCTTGAGTTTGAGTTCTGGTTATGTCACTCACTGGCTATGCTCCTTTGGGACAGGAAACTTAAACTCTCTGCGCTTTGGCTTCCTTGTATATAAAACAAGAATAAAAACAGTATTTATGTGTGAGTTTCTGTAAGGTTTAAATGAGATTATATATGTAAACACACTTAGAAGAGTGCCTGGTGGTTAGAAGGTGCTTATTTATTTATATATAAGCTATTACCAAAAATGTTCAACAAATTTTTAAAAGCCTTTGAGTTCTTGCTACATTCAAAAGTTATGCAAGAAACCCTGGAAAACAGAAATAAAAAAGAATGGGCAGGCTTCCTGTTTCCAGTCCAGTGTGTAAGGAGCTTAGAAGTCTCCACTCCATTGTAACAACAGTAAAAAGCCAAACAAACTGAAATACAATCAAGAACTCTTTTTAGATTTGTCGAAACTGAGGTCACAGTAGAGAGAGAGGTGAATATGGGGAGTCACAACTTAACAGGAGCAAACCCGTAAGTAGAACCCTCCATGGAAACAAATGCTGAGGCAGGAAAACCTGAACTGTAATTGGTAAATTACTAGAGGCTCCATAGGGACCTGTCTGAGAGTTTAAAACACCATGGGTGGGGTGAGGACTCAGCCAAAGGTCATTTGTAAATGACCTTTTTTATGTTGAGGGACTTTTCTTGTATACGCAAACTGTTGAGAGTTTTTATCAAAAAAGGATGTTGGATTTTGTTGAATACTTCCTGTGTCAATTGAGATGATCATGTGGTTTTGTCTTTCAGTCTGTGATGTGTCACTTTGATTGACTTACCTATGTTAAACCAGTCTTGCCTGCTACGGGTAAATCCCACTTGATCATACTGTAGAATCTTTTTGATGTATTGTTGAATTTGATTTGCTAATATTTTATTGATAATTTTTGCATGAATGTCAGAGTTACTGCCTTGCAGTTTTCTTTTTTCTTATGATATCTTTGCCTGGCTTAGGAATCAAGATAATACTTGCCAAAACATCTATGATTAACATACTAAAGATTTTAATGGAAAAAGTAGACAACCTGCAAGAACAGATGGATATTGAAAATAGAGATATGGAAATTATAAGAATCAGAAGGAACTGTTAGAGATCAAAAACACTGTAACAGAGATAAAGAATGTCTTTGGTGGGCTCACTATCCGACTGGACACAGCTCAGCTAAGAGTAGCATGAGGATGCAATAAATAGAAGCTTCCAAAACTGAAAAGTAAAGAGAACAACGACTTAAAAACGTTTTTTTTGACTAGCCTTAACTGTAGGACAACTACAAAAGATGTAATATACCATAAAGGGAATACCAGAACAAGAAGAAAGAGAAGGA